CCGCCATTGCACTGCTGTCAGCCATGGAGCCACAGCTGGCCACAATGGACGGACCCAGCCTTGCTGATGCCGCCTGGGCGCTCGCTCGACTTGGGGCCGACGTCCCGGGGCCCTGGCTAGCAGCGCTGGTGGCAGCGGTGGACACAAGGCCAGAGGAGGGCAGCAGCGGCGACAGCAACCGGGTACAGGCGGCAGGTCCGATGGCAGGGGAAGCGTCACATCCGGCAGCAACGGCTGCAGCTGAGCCTGTCAGCCTTGGTGGCAGCGCGCTCGCCGAGCAGGCGGCGGCGCAGGCGCGAGGGTATGTCATGGCGGCTGGTGCGGAAGTGGGGTCGGCGCCACCTGCGGCGACGGGGTGGGCCGCTGGGGGGGGCGTGGATGCGCGCTGCCTGGCGGTGCTCATCTGGTCGATGGCACGGCTGGGCCACCGGCCGCCCCGTGGCTGGCTTCTGGCGTTCAAGGCGACATCCGGCGAGCAGCTGGGGGAGGCGGCGGCGCGGCGGCTGGCCCGATTCATTGCGGGCGCGCTGCTGCAGCACCAGCAGCGGGAGGGCATGCCTGATGCGCTGTAATGAGCTGTGAACGAAACGTTGGGTATCTTGTCCGCCTACAGCGCCAGCCAACACGAGTGTCGTGCAGCATGTGAGTTGTACAGCACTCGGTACAAGATACAAATGAAAATTTCCCTCAACTTCCCTGTCGGCCGTCACCGCCGCACCATGGGCAGTGGCAAGTGCACGGCAAGCAGCAGAGTGCTCAAATCGACTTGAGTATCCCTGCCCGTACCCGTTTCACCGGGTTTCACAACATGCATGCAGCGAGAAGGAATTACCGTGTTGCACCCGGGGGAGCTTTTCACAGTGGACACTGCACACGGCAGATGTGGCAAGCAGCGGTATGATCACGCGACTGGGGTATACTTGACCATACCCAGTGCACCGGTCCTCATCCAGAGTTAGGGCATCTTGTACAGGCCATCCAGCACTGTACATGTTCACTGTCCATCATCCGCTGCCCGCCTGGTGACAGGATGCATGAGTCATGAACAATGTCATGAATGTGAAGCGTGAGCCAAGATCAGACAGTCCACGATGCTCATGATTCGCTTGATTTTTCGCTTGAGTATTGCTCAACGAGGCTCCGAGCCTCGTGGGACCAGGCACGAATTCCGCACTTCAACCCCACGCGCGGCCTGTGCACTGTCACGGAAATGCATCACAAACAAAAAATCAAGCACCGTTTGACAGCAACGGTGGTGCTCTTGGTTTGCGGGCTCATCGTTTTCGCATCCTCGGCCCTCCTGCTAGCTGCAACGGCGCGCCGGGATGGCCGCCATCAACAAGATGCTGGGGGCGTCTCCCCATACGCCGCACCGCTGCAGCCACTGTTGCTATACCTGTCGTCTCATCCGGACGAGGGACTGACGCCGATTGTTGACGAGTTGTTGCGAGCGCCGGTAGTGGGCGCTGGCGAGGCGCGCAGCATCTACCATTCCGCCCTGGGCCGGCTCGATGCGGGGTGCGTTCAACATTTACTGTTGTCTACGTCTGCATTGTTGGTGCTGGCATTTTGCTGCTGTTCAGACAAAGGGCGTTGGCCCCGCGCCCTGCACTGGCAGTCCGGTGCCGTTGTGACCGCAGTGGAAATGCCACTTGCCCCTGCCTCCCGTGCTCACCGCTCCTTCACACACAGTAAGCTCCATGCACCCAGGCCCCAGGCTCAACAAGCGCACAGCCCCAGTCCAACTCGAATCACGCTGTTTTTGCCCGCCTCCCCCCCCCTCCAAGCAGCACCGGCGCCTACACGCGCGCCCCCGCGTACAAGCGGTTCTGGCGGCGGCCTCACCCCCTGGAGGCGTTTGTTGACGCTGCCCTGGCGCTGCTGGCTCGTGAGGGCCGCGGCTCCCTCATGGACTGCGGCCCTGGGGACGCGACTCTGCCCACCAGGGGCTCTTCTGCGGGGCGTGTGGCGATCGTGAGCAACCTGCGAAACGCCGCAGGCGTCGCGCCAAACGCGGTGCTGCAGGTGCTGCGGGCGGCGCTGTGGCTGCCGCAGGGCGCGGCCTTTGTGTTGGTCTACGAGGACGGCAGCACAGACGCTACGCGCCGCTGGCTGGCGCTGCTGCAGCTGCTGCTCACGCCGGTGGGCGTGCCCTTCAAATTCACGCTGGACGGCGGCCTGGCGCGGCGCCCCCAGGAGCCCCGCATCGCCCACCTGGCTCGCATACGCAATGCGCTGGTGGACCCGCTCTTCCCGCCGCCGAGCGTTGAGCGCGCGCTCTGCAGCCGCCCGCGGGCGCAAGGGCACCGCCAGGCCGACAGCAGCGCCATCAGCGCCAGCGCCAGCGCTAGCGCCAGCGTTGCCGCAGCGTCACGCGGCGCCTTGCTCGCCACTTCGGTCCCTGCCGCCTGCTTCCGCCCCGACGCGCTGCTGTTTATCAACGACGTCTTCTTCTGCCGGGACGATGCCCTGCGCCTGATGCTGCATGATGCAGACCTGGCGTGCGGCTTTGATGTGAGCGCAGGCGAGGGCAAACGGCGGCGCACAGCGGCACGGCGAAGGGCTCGGCGCGAGCGGAGGCGCCAGCTGCTCGCAGCGAAGGGCGGCGGGAGCAGCGCTGGAGTAGCTCAGGCAGACTTGGAACGGAGTGAGCTGCAGCGTACCTGGGCCGCAGGCTCCTCACGCCACGACCGGCATCAAGGAGACGAGCAAAATTCTGAGCGCCGGCAGCAGCAGCAGCAGCAGCAGCAGCAGCAGCAGCAGCAGCAGCAGCAGCAGCAGCAGCAGCAGCAGCAGCAGCAGCAGCCAATGCCGACCCAACGGCAAGGCGTTTCAACGCGGAACCTCAGAGCTAATACATCAGGAGAGCATCCCAACAGCAGGGACAAGCAGGGCCAGGTGCAGGGGCCATCTCAAGCGCCAGCAGTTACTGCTCAGCAGCCAGTGCTGGCCCAGACGTCGCTGCCACGCCCGTCAAGACCAGCACCACAGTCGCAACC